TCAAAGGTGACCCCCAAAATCTTTGGGTGGTTCACAGTCGGTATTTGGTTTCCATCGACTACGACGCCTAGGTTCAAGTTTAGCTCCTTCGTCCAGGTGGTGAAAAGTCTTCGCTGGTGATAGTTTCAGGTTACGTCCAGTCAAGAAGTTGTGTATTTCTCCGAGATAACCATTCACTCGATCGCATAGCTCATCAACGTCTTGGCCCGTCGCCATAATGGTACAGTCGTCCGCATAAGATATAACTTCCACACCTTGTGGGGGTGTGGGGAGTTTAGAGAGGTAGAAGTTAAACAATAGGGGGGATAAGACGCCGCCCTGTGGTACTCCCTGTTTAACACTACGGGTTTTGGAACATTTGTCTCTAAACTCAACGAACGACTGACGGCCACTCAGATAATTTACAATCCATCTTTCAAGTTGTTGGGCATGGTGGACTGCAGGATGTCCTGGAAGAGTGTGGTATGGCTGACTGTATCGAAGGCCTTCGATAAGTCTAGCGCCACTAGGAGTGTCCTTTCACAAGGCCTCTGCTGGTTTAAGTCTTGTGAGATCTGAGTGGTTATGGCGGTTAATGCTGAGGTGGTGCTGTGCATCTCACGGAATCCATGCTGGTGGCGAGCTGCTGTTAGATGGCAGGACAGCTGGGGGAGGAGGAGCGCCTCAAGAGTCTTCGCGACTGGTGACAGGAGGGAAATCGGCCTGTAGGATTGACCCTCTGTCGCGTTCTTCCCTGGTTTCAGTATCGGGATGACTCTACCCTTTTTCCAGGCATTGGGTATTATCAGGCTGCTCATTGACAGGTTTAAAATCATTGTCAAGTACTCGACTCCCCGTTCGCCAAGGTGTTTCAGCATCAGCTTGGATATGCCGTCGGGGCCAATCGCCTTAGATGGTTTGGCTGCGTTGATGGCCTCTGCAACTTCAGACTGGGTGAAAGGTTGTGGAATGTCCGAGACTGGAAGGTTGTGGAATGTCCGAGACTGGAAGGTTGTGAAGTTTGCGAACAACACTTCGTTTCACCTTATGGGTGCTCAATAAAAAGTCGGCAAAATGCACGCGAGCATGCTGATATCGTGATTCAGCTGGACAATACGTGGGTCGTCGGGGTTGATATTTCGGAGGTCATCGCGCTCGTCTGCTAGTCTCGCTGCCTCTGCTGGGAAGTGCGGCCGCACTATAGATAGTCGACCAACAGGAATAAAGCGGGCTGCTGCTGCGATGACAGTTTCGCGGAACTTGCTCTCTGCTTGGTGTACGTTGCTAGGAGCTGGAAGATCATTGAAGATGCGATTAGTGAATTCTCTGAAGCCGAGCCAGTCTGCTTTCTTTTGGTTTATGTAGAGACGGCGTTCAGAGACGATAAAGTCATTGGGTCGATCCAGACAAACGATTATGGGTAAGTGGTCTGGGGCTAGAGAAACTACTGCTCTCCAAGTTGCGTAGTTTATCAGACCAGGCTCTGGAGAGCTGGCGCAGTTACCCATAATCCGTGTGGGGGCATCATCATTTAGTGTGCAGAAGGTGGATTCGTCAATTTGTTCCGCCAGTGACGCGCCTCTCTGGTCTTCCCCTAGACTAGAGTGCCAGAGCTGATGATGCGCGTTAAAATCCCCAAGGACTAGACGCATATCGCCGTCTAATAAGGTCCTAATGTCGGGACGGTAGCCTGATGGACAGCTGGCTACTGGCGGAATGTAGACATTATAGAAGTCTAGGTCGGTTTCCCCCGATCTGACTGCGATACATTGGACTTCAAGGTATTGGTCCCTAGCGTTGAGATCGAGGGAAAGAACTCTTTACTGCACTGTGTTATGGACTATAAATGCAATGCCCCCACCGTTGCTTCTGGTGCGGTCTTTTCGGAGAACGTTGTAACCGTCAGTTTTGTCTCCTGGACCGCAGCGACCGCGATGTTGTTTTGCTGCATAAATCTGGTTATCTCGGGTAATTTACTCTGGAGGCCATTGCAGTTAAACTGCAATATGGATATCACCCCAAAAGTCTCCGACCACTCCCGATGATGGTTTAGTCCAGAGCAGTTTCTGAGGCGACACCAGCCCAAACAAGCGTTGCACCGTAATTGGGTGGACATATGGTGCAACCGGTTCTGGCAAACTTTACAGAACCATGGTCCGGGATTTAGTTCGATTCCGGCACGGACCAATAGGATACGGAAGATGTTGCTCCGTTGGTAAAAATGTGTAGTTGTTGCTGGGGTTGACAGCACTTGGCCGAAAAATTTCGGGTCATTCCGGTACGTAGAACCGGCTGTCGGGGAATGCTTAGATTTATAATAATAACTTAGATTTATAATTATCATTGCTTGCAGTCTGGTTGGAATTTAGATCCTCTAAGGGATATATTTTTTTAATACACGATTCAATTGTTTGATTATTAAGGCTATATATTCTAGCGGCAGATGTTGGCGTCTCAAGGCCACGCAAAACATTAGAAACAGCTTTTTCCATCGCATTTTCGTCAATAGAAGCGCATTAGGTCTTAGGCTTGTAATTTCGAACAATATTAAAGGATTTTTTAAAGACAAACCAAAAAATAATTATAGGAATTAAAACGCTGAATCTACCCCGAAAGCACTTTCTTTGTTTTTCTTTTTTTTCTATTAGTCTTCAAAAAACATTATGATTTGACTTATTTTTGTAAGAAAATACATAATATTTAATGACTTTTTAATAACGCTGTCTTAAAAGTTTAAAAATTTCATATACGAAATAATTACCAAATGGAATGAAATATTACAACAAGTAAGAAAGTATAGTCGGGCGTGGCCGACCATATGATACCCTACACCAGGTTTGAATATTAAATGTGATTTATTTTTCATAATAAAGCATTTATCTTCAATATTCCCTTGTTCCGATACATTTAAGCAATTTATGGATGAAAAACTAATTTTCTGAAAGAGGCTTTATATGGGGGCTAGGGGCAAATATGGACCAAGCCCGATAAAATTTTGTGAATATATTTATATTTACATAATATTTTATTGTGCTGAATTTCATCGCGATATTTGTGTTTATAAGTTAATTTGGGACATTCAAGTAATTTTCTGAAGGGGACTTTGTATGGGAGCTAGGGCCAAATGTGGCCCGATCTTTATGAAATTTGGCAGGGTCACCAAGACTTCTATAAAACTTAGTTGTGCCGTATTTTATCGATATATCTGTATATTTAACATAATTATGAGCTCAGAAGCCCTTTTCGGGGGGTTCTGTTCTATGGGGGCTTTGTCCTTGGGTCAAATAAAACGTGCGTGCCAAATTTCATCCAATTATCTTGAAAATTGCGACCTGTACCTTGCGCACAAGGTTTACATGGACAGCCAGCCAGCCAGACGGACGGACGGACGGACATAGCTTAATCGACTCAGGAAACGATTCTAAGCCGATTGGTATACTTTAAGGTGGGTCTAGGACGAATATTTTTGTATGTTACAAACATCAGCACAAATCCAATATACCCTCCCCACTAAAGTGGTGTAGGGTATAAAAACACCTGTAAAAATATTAAAACACGAGCAGTTAAATAAGCATATTAGCCATAGGTGGCAAACTTTGCGGCAGTTATTTATTTTGATATTCGATACCTATACATCAAACCTAGTGACGTACAATGAGAGCTTTACATCAATAACGTCATTGCGGAAAGTACCCCCATGCCGGAGCTGCCCCAGTCTCCCATAGTATTTTGCTCACGATTGCAGGATGACGACGACACGTGGCTCGCGAGTAGATCAACACTTGCCGCCGGTACTGGGTTATTTAGGCCCTGCACCGTTACTTTTATCTTTTTATTTTTACTTTCCATATTTGTTTATTTCCAGTTTTTTGGTCCGCGGTGAATATAATATTCCCAGGTTGTGGACAATCTGCCCTCCCTCAGCTCAAGTGAATTTAAAGTTGGGAGAGGACAGATGGTCCATCACCACCCCCTATCCGCCACCCGGGGACGCGTTCGGTAGGAAAAACGGGAAAACTCCCCCGAGAAATCGCATATAAAAAATTAACAAAAATTTTATTCTTTGTTGAAACCATAAAAAATTAAGGAAACAAACAACAAAACAATACCAAATCCAAATAATGAAAAAAATATACAAGATTTCTTGAAAATAAAACTTAATATTTCTTCATGTACAAAGGATTTGAACAATGTTTTATATATCCGGAATTGGTAAAAAATCAGTAGTTGTAGGTACTTTGTTGATCACTTTTTTTGAATGTATGTAGACCAAAATTTTCCTCAAAATCATATAAATACTTTTATCTTTTTATTTTTACTTTCCATATTTGTTTATTTCCAGTTTTTTGGTCCGCGGTGAATATAATATTCCCAGGTTGTGGACAATCTGCCCTCCCTCAGCTCAAGTGAATTTAAAGTTGGGAGAGGACAGATGGTCCATCACCACCCCCTATCCGCCACCCGGGGACGCGTTCGGTAGGAAAAACGGGAAAACTCCCCCGAGAAATCGCATATAAAAAATTAACAAAAATTTTATTCTTTGTTGAAACCATAAAAAATTAAGGAAACAAACAACAAAACAATACCAAATCCAAATAATGAAAAAAATATACAAGATTTCTTGAAAATAAAACTTAATATTTCTTCATGTACAAAGGATTTGAACAATGTTTTATATATCCGGAATTGGTAAAAAATCAGTAGTTGTAGGTACTTTGTTGATCACTTTTTTTGAATGTATGTAGACCAAAATTTTCCTCAAAATCATTTTTGCAAAAAAAATTTTAGAATTTTGAAACCGCACTAATTCAAATTCGCATAAAACAAGGTTTGAGTGTATTATGTTTATACCCATGGTCGCCAATGACACGCTAATTTTAAAATCATTCATGTTTCAACTAAAAATGAACCAGTTCATTCTTTTACTACTTCTTTTGCTGGGTAGTTGTAGAGAAGTGGACAAATTTTTTTAAGGTATCTTTACATCGTCTGCTATGGACAATGGATAAAAAAGAAAATCATTAAAAATTCAACCTTTGGACCATATTTTTATTTATGTGCGTATAATATTTATAGCTAAAAAATTAGTTCAAATGGGGCAAAATTACTTCCTTTATAATGCGCTTATTTGTATGCCACGTAAGATGATGAACAAATGGCTTTACTATGATTATCAACTTTCCATGGTCGGCCAATGTTTTTAAACCAATTGTGTCAGCTGTGTAAATATCGCGTTTATTGAAGGGAACAACATCAAAAGAACCGTTATAGAATCCAAAATGACTGAAATATTTTAAAATTTTAAAAAACGGATAATAAATATAAATATTACAAAAACCTTGATTCCCATGGCGTAATAACTCCATCATTTGGGCCTCCAATAAGTACCATTTTATCCAAGTGTGTTAGGGCATTTTTAAATTCCGAAGAATTTGTTGATTTTAGTTCATTATTAATATAAGGTAAGAAAACACTATATTTTAAATATAAATCCTGTTTGTTAGGATCATTCCAATAGTTTCCTACTGAAGTGTGTTGTCCCACCTTAGAATAGAACAATTCAAAAGCAGTTTTAGCTGCTAAATCAGGGAATATCAAGTGCAGAAAACTTGCTGAAATTTAAAATGCGTACAAGTTATTGGTAATTGGATATCTTTCTTTAATGCAATATTACTTCCATACTGCCCTGCCTGTGGAGAAGACAAGGATATGAATACTTTGACATTGTGATTTGGCATTGACTGTATAGTAGCACGGGCCAAAAGCCCACCTTGGGAATAACCTTAAATAAAAACAAATATGCATTCCATGTTAATATTTGATAAATATTTATAATCTATGCACGAAACCTTACCAATAACTATAATTCCCTCAGGATGTAGTTTCTGAATTGCTTCTAAATAATCTCTAAATTGGGACACTTGCTTCCAAGCATTTTCAAGACTGTACCAATTACTAAACAAGTCACAGTTATACACCTTTGTTCCAGGATGTTGCTATAAAACACCAACAAAAAACTAAAACTTCTAATAAATTTACCGTCACATTTACAAACCGATTCAATGAATCGCTGTAAAGACATCATTGATTCAGAGCCAGAAAGTATTCCATGTAGTATTACTACAGGCTTGAAAGCCACTACAGTCGCAAGGAATCCAGTCATCAAAAAACAAATTACAAGTCCGGAAAATTTCATTATTGTAAGTTATTCCAACTTGAATATTGTGCGAGTATTTTATGCTAGTAATCATTGTTGTGATATTTATTTTTATTTGTTGTTGTTGTTGTTTCAATGTCAAAGTAAAATTAGTTGTGGTTGGCAATTCAATGAGTTATGTATAGTGCAAGGCAAATTCACATAAGGTGTGCTGACAGTTCGGCAACAAAATTGTCCATGTATCCAGTCGAATTTACATAAGGTGGGTGGCAGTTCGGTTATAACAAGCATTTGGTCCACGTAGATGTTAAAAACAATAAGTACGCAAATCCATTTAATGGATTTTTTTATTAAAAAATATAAGCATACAAATATTAATATTTATAAAGAAAATATTTGCCTGAAATTTAAAAAAGTATATATATTCTGAATAAAATAATCTCTTTTACAAATGGAAAATTCTACTCCGTCGGAGTAAAATAAATAAAATATTGTTTAATTTGTTAACATTTAGTAGGAAAATATTTTTTTGCCATTGTTTAAATAAAATATATACAGTGACTTCCACAAAAACACAAAATTATAATATTTTTAAAATTTTTCCTGCAAGATAAAAATTTCATTCTTTATATTTTAAATATATTACGTCCTGATAAATTAACTAAGCCATAAATTATGAAATTAAATTTGATTTTCGTAGAAAAGGAGTGAAAAATGTAATCATGTTTTTGTGAACACTATTGTAACCCTACTGATATATGGACATTTTCTATTTTCCGCATGGATATATCAACATTTATTGGAACCAACTTTTGCTTTAATGATAGGTTTAAGTCTCTTTTGCATGTTTTAAATTAAATTCCATAAAAAATATTTGTCAAATTTAACTCATTCTTCATTCATCGTCTTCTAAAGCTTTTCCAGATTGTGTGGCACTGTAGATCACATATTATGTTAAATTTTGGCATATTCTAAAAATTTTCGGTTCCGTCTTGATAATTGTTGGGGCCAATCCAAACATTTAATACCGTGCTTCTCAAGTCTCTAGGTGGTTATATAAACCTTTTGATTATGGCCACCGTCTTGCACGCTGATAGTTTAGTGTGGTTCACACCCTAAGACTTCCTGGATATGGAGATAAAAATCCCTTAAAGGATCAATCTAAGGTTCTGTCTTTAATATGCGGACTATTTTCCTAAGGATTCTTAACTTTTTATCATGGAACCAACCCCAAATCAAGAGTAACCCCTGTCAAAATATTTATTCGAATTTATTATTTTTTATGAATTACTGTGTTATTTTATGATGCTACTTTAAAAATAAAATTAGTATTTAAAAAGTTTTAAGGAAATTTTATTAATTTATATTATTTTTACGAAATACAAGAAAAAAGTAATAAAAACTCATTAATGGTTTCCAAGAAAATGGAAAAAACCCAAAAAGGGTCACTTCAGGTACTGCGCAAAAATATTCGAATTTTTTTTAAGAACTTTTTTTAGAATCCTTGAACACGTGTTTTATTGCCCATTCATTAACCCATTATGCAGGTAATACATTAAATTCGAATACTTATGAGAGACACTGTATGTATTTGGCACATGTACCATTTTCATTTTCCCCTATTTTTTCAAAATAGACTTTTTTTTGCTTAAAAGAAAGCTTAGATCATTTCCTTTAAGAGCTTTGTGGTCACTTAGTGGCATGCAAGGGGCATATCTATAAAAATATTTTGGAAAAAATAGTGGAAAATGAAAGCGGTTCATGTGCAAAATATTGAAACATTTTACTCTTGAGTTAAAAAATCCTACTTTGCAATAGTACTATCCTTAGTGCAAATTTCATCCAAATCGATTTTTTAAGTTGGGTCACTTGACACGAAACTTCCAATATACAAGTGGGAGAGGTGCCACGCCCACTTATTTAAAAGTCGATTATCTCGGAACATGGTACAACTACAGTTGTATGGACAATATTGACATCCATATGAACATTTGGAGGAAAATGGGAGGACTAGCATTGGGAGTCGCCCACCTCTTATATGAATTAAATACAAAAACTTGTACACATATCTAGTAGGATGATCAACTTGTTCAACCGACGAGAATTACAGAAACGGGCACAGTTGAATATTTTTAATATAATTTTAGTTGCTGAAACCGAAACCGTTTCTGTAATTCTCGCATCGAGAAAATCTGTCGAAAAATTCATGATCATCTTGTGTAAAACAGGGTGAATACAAGAAATTTAAAAATTTCTTATTAAATTTTAATGAGTACAGTTTAAAAATAATCAGAGTCACACTGTTAAAAACTGGAAGACTATTATATTTTAAGTTTCTCTCGATTCGAGAAAATTACAGAAACGAAACAGGAAACGAGGTTTTTTCAATAACTCACCATTTTCTCGCCAAATTGCATCGAATATTTTGTTCATATTTTACGGATATTTTATATAATTATAAAAATATATTTACCTTTAAGGATTAATGTCAATCATATATATGTCTTATACCAAGTTCACACAAGCAGTTGAATTACTTAAGGGCCCTTCAGACGATCACACTTTAAATACTACAAGTCTAATGGAAAAGTAAAATGAAATTCCATCCGTATGACAAAAAGAGAAGAAAAGTCGTATATTTATATTTTTTGTTTTTACACGATTGGAATAAAACAATAAGTAAGATGGAAACATCTGTTTCACTTTTTTGTATGTGTTTACATAAAAATACATCCCTGATCTAATGCGACTTGCGTGTTTTTTGAATCATTTCAAAAAATGAAGAGATCCATACGACTGTCAAATTTTCCATCCGTATTTTCTCTCAATGTTTGATGATTTCGTTACATATTGCGTTTAGACGATCCCATCCGTTCTCTTCTACACAAAATTTTGACAGATCATATTACTTGTGTGTTCGTGTGAAGGGGGCTTCAATTCGGCCTCTGAATGACGATAGCCAATTAACCCGTTTCTACGACACATTTGTAATCCGTTTCGCCATGTTGTTTTTTTTTTCATTCATTATTTTGTAATTTTTTTGGAATATTAGTGTGTGTGTTACACAAATATTTTCTATTTATTTGCATTTTTTTTTGTGATTTTATTCGCAGCTGAAATTTTGTATGGCCAATCATGTCATTCAGTATATAATTGGGGGTTAAATGATGAATGAGAGCGTGAATTACGAATAATTGCATCATGTGATCGGGGTATTAATTATATATTTTTTCTAATTTCTTTACTGTTTTATTCCCTTCTTTATTGTTCATAAGTCATGGAGATTTTCTTAAAATTTTGAAATGTGTTTAACAAAATTGCTAAAAGTTTGAAACTGGTTATTTGAATCTGCCGTCTGAAGGGTTTCCCTTTCATGACTATACCTCAAATACGATTTACGCTATATAATGGGGATTCAAACTCAAATTCCAGTTAATACAAATATATTTTACGCAAGATCATGGTTTTATTAGATTATTTCCTAAAATTAGTTAATTTTTTTTAAATATTTCTCACTAAATGATCGGAAGAATTTGTAATAACTTTTACAATTTTTGGTGAATTGCTGTGTTTTATATCTTATTGGAGCGATAATTGAAAATATTCAAATTATTTGCTGTAAAAATCCAAAAAGACAAATTTAGTGCCAACATTTTTGTAAAAATCGTTTTCCCCTTCAGAGCCGTGATGCCACCAGTTATCGTAGTTCTATTGCGCTAAATTTTTCCAGAATACATTTCTAAAACTTTAAGTATAAGCACAAAGTATACAGAGGCGTCACGGCAAAAAATATATTTGAGCAAAATCAAAACATTTTTAAGAATCGATGAATCTGAATTAAAATGCCTATAAAGAAAAATAATCTTAAGTAGTATTAACGAAAAATTTTAGTAAATCCTTAACGAAAAAAATAGTTAAATATACAGGTTTTTTATTCAAATCTACAGAAATTTTATTCATATAAACGAATTTTCTTCATATTTAGTAATTTATTTTTGTTAAAAAATTTAGTCATTTTAATCTGTTGATTTGAATAAATTCCCAGCAAAAAAAGTGTGGAAAAAGATGTAGAATTTTCATCACAACTAGTAACTCGAAGTGCTTCAAATTAAGGTGAAAAAGGTGGAAAAAGACGTAGAATTTTCATCACAACTAGTAACTCGAAGTGCTTCAAATTCAGGTGAAAAACCTATGAATTTTACACTAACGTGTCATTGGAGGGATGTTGTTAATTTTTGACAACTTTGAACTACATTTAATCTTATCTTTAGAAGCTGTAAAAACCCGACATTTGTATGTCAAAAATAAACCACATTCTTTCAAGGAATGCTTAAGTAAATTTCATAGGTTTTTCATCAAAATTTGAAGTACTTCGAATATGATGTTTGTAGTGACTTTTCTACATCTCTTTCCTCATTTTTAACTGTGTTTTCATTTGTAAGGATATGTTTGGTTTATAAAAGCGAAAAGTATGCAATCGCATTTTTAGATGTGATTAAGATGTCGTTTGTAAAGTATGACATCAATTATTTTTTGCTGGGTTTCTTTATATTTACATCCAAAATTTTGTTAAATCAACAGAAATTTAGTTAAAACAGTATTAAAATAGTAAAATCGCAATTATTCAAATCTACACCTAAAATAGTTAATTTTACATCTTTGAAGGTGGTTAACTTGAAGAATATATCGTTAATTTAAATAAATTTTTTTGAAGAAATTTCTTCATTTCTCACAATAAAACATAAAAAAACAAAATAAAATACAAAGAAGAGGAAATAATGAATTAGGGCTGTAGCTTTAAAGAAATTTCGTTATATTTAACTATTTTATTTTATTTTATTTAAATTGAATAAAAACATGTAGAACTGAAGAAATTTCTTAGTTTTTTTTTTCGCAATATAAAAGAAAAAATTAAAAGAATACTTACATATGTACATTATTACACATTGTGGTTCCCTTTAAAGTGTTTGTGTTATCAAATAATTATTTTAATAAATAAGGTTGAAAGTTAAGAAAATTTGATTGCACAAAATATTAAATATGTTATGATTGTCAGGTGGTTGAGTGAAACAATGGAGTTTAATTTTAACCCAAAGTTAACCTTTATTTAAAAACAATAATTAATAATAAAACAGATAACAAATTAATTTAAAATAGTTACCGCGTATATGACTGTGTGATGTTTACTAGACGACTTAACAATGTACAATAAACATAACAAAAAGTAATAGCGGCAAACTATGTATGTATGACAATATAAAAGTATGTATATAAGACAATATAAAAACGACAGTTATAATTTTAGTACAAAGAACATAGAAGTTGCTTATTTATTGTGCTTATAAATACGAATTTTAAATGTCTTTTAATATGAAGTGTTTTATACTTATGAAAAAACATATTGCGTCAATTTATCTACAAAAATAGCTGAAAGTATTGTGAATCTCTGGTAAGACCTCGTTGTATTTTTATATAAATATAAATACATATAGCACTGATATTTGTTTTATTATTTAGGAATATTACTACATAAAGCAATCTGGAAGGAAACCCCAAGATAAATTATACAACAAATATTTGAATATAATGCGTAAGCTGAAATAATATGGCGTTGTCCAAGAGAGGTCTTATTCCAATAAAGCACTGGATACATAAGTACAAACGAATTTAAATTCTATTTGGGTGCATCAAAAAATGACCGGCTCCACGTTGTGTCACATGCGAAATGTGCTTCTGACATATTAAACAAATGGTCACAGGTAAGTTATTCTTTAAAACTCAACAACATAAATATTTATACATTTAATGTCATGTTTGTCTATTTCTTGTAGGTAGATAAGGAATTTAATTATATCCAAAAACAGTGTGTGAAGAAATACACCTAGGCCAATATCGGGCCTGTTCTACGCTCATTAACCAGTGCCTCAGGTAGGAAAAGAACCCACCACCTCCGGTCTAACAGACTAGAACACTAACCACTAACCTACCGGAGGCCATTGTGTGAGTGAAAGTAAGTGTTCAAATATTTTATCCATATATAATTAAGGAAATATATAATTTTATTTGTTTTCCAGATGGTCGTTGTATTATAAATTTTTTACCTTATTTTACCGCCAACCTTTTACAACCGTCTTTTTATATCGTCAACAAAAACGTGTACAAGATTTACCATAAGAGACACTCAACGAAGCTTTATTATTGATGACTTATGTTTAAAACATATTTAGTTCACACCTATGAAAACATTTCATATAAAACCTTAAAAAACGTATTTTTTACTCATTACTTAAAACGTATTTAAAAATTGTTTCACGATATTAGCTTAAATGTTAATTTACTTATTTATATTAGTTCTTATAATAATTTTGTAATTTTAATTTAATTATATAATTTAGCTTTTTATAATTAAATATTATTATTAATAATTTTATTTTGTCAAACACATTTTCTTTAACTATCAATGACAATATTATATAAGTTATAAACAGTAAAGAAAAATTACTTTACTGTTTATAATTTATATAAACATTGTCTCAGATAATGAAAGAAAATGTTAGAAATTAACTAAAATATGGTACTAAAAATGTGGACAAATTCTTCATTATGAATAAAAATATTATTAGTGAGAACTAAATTCATTATTTAAATTGAAGAAATTTCTTCAAAAACAACTAAAACATATATTTAAATTAACTACCTCAATTAATAAAAAATAAATAATTAAAATAAAAATATTTTGGTTCTGTGTAGTATTTTGTCAATCTTTTAAAATAAGTAAATGTTATGATACATTTCGGTATAATATAACAAAACACATGTATGTCCAAAATTGCAGACCACTAGCTTATTATCTCTTAACTTTATGAACATTTAAAACTTTAAAAACGAAAATAAATGCCTTGAAACATTTCTTGCTTTCAGGCAACTATAGCGCCATATGATTTGCATAAATGTTAGTGTCAAATAAAAGCTTTCTTTTTGCATACATTACAATTTTATGTCCTAAATACAGATTTCATAACCTCAAAAATAAATTCACATACAGTGGTGGCCATGAGGTTAGCACATTTGGTATCTGTTAAATATAACATCAAATATTTCCAATAGTTCTTAACTTTTTTAACAAAAACCTTTTTTATGCGTAACACATGTCTTCGAGGATTACTACACATTACATTTTGTTCCACTAATTTGTTGCACAGAGGTTTTTGTCTTTCCAAAGTAAAATATCTGGACATAAATTTAGCACAAAGTAAAGAAAATCATTAAAAAATTAAAAATAAAACATAACAACCTGTGCCCCGTTTCTGTAATTCTCGCATCGAGAAAATCAGTCTGGTACTGCTAAATGTATCTAATTTCACTTAAAATTTTATATTTTGTAGAATAGTTGCACATTTTGATAATATCTTTTCTTCTCCTGGACATAATCTTCACCAGAACCCACTAGAAATTTCATGACATAAATTTTAACTTTCAGGCCTTAATTTGGCAAAATTGGGGATTTCTGTTTTTATTTGTTGCTCCATATGTATAGAACCACCACTACGCCCGGAAAACGCCACCAGGAGAAGAAAGCATGTTATCAAAATGTGCAACTATTCTACAAAATATAAAATTTTAAGTGAAATTAGATACATTTAGCCGGTTGTTTTATTTTTAATTTTTTAATGATTTGTTTTATTTTGTGCTAAATTTATGTCCAGATATTTTTGGGGATAAATTTACTTTGGAAAGAAAAAACCCTATATGCAACAAATTAGTGGAATGTAATGTGAAGTGATCCTCGAAGGACATGTGTTACACATAAACAAGTAAGAAAGTATAGTCGGGCGTGGCCGACCATATGATACCCTACACCAGTTATGAATATTAAATGTGATTTATTTTTCATAATAAAGCATTTATCTTCAATATTCCCTTGTTCCGATACATTTAAGCAATTTATGGATGAAAAACTAATTTTCTGAAAGAGGCTTTATATGGGGGCTATTGGCAAATATGGACCAAGCCCGATAAAATTTTGTGAATATATTTATATTGACATAATATTTTATTGTGCTGAATTTCATCGCTATATTTGTGTTAATAAGCTAATTTGGGGCATTCAAGTAATTTTCTGAAGGGGACTTTGTATGGGAGCTAGGGTCAAATGTGGCCCGATCTTTATGAAATTTGGCAGAGTCATCAAGACTTCTATAAAACTTAGTTGTGCCGTATTTTATCGATATATCTGTATATTTAACACAATTATGAGCTCAGAAGCCCTTTTCGGGGGGTTCTGTTGTATGGGGGCTAGGTGAAATAATGGACCGATTTTAACCATTTTCAATAGGCTTCGTCCTTAGGTCAAATAAAACGTGCGTGCCAAATTTCATCCAATTATCTTGAAAATTGCGACCTGTACTTTGCGCACAGCCAGCCAGACGGACGGACGGACATAGCTTAATCGACTCAGAAAACGATTCTAAGCCGATTGGTATACTTTAAGGTGGGTCTAGGACGAATATTTTTGTATGTTACAAACATCAGCACAAATCCAATATAGGGTATATATTGGATTTAGTGGTGTAGGGTATAAAAATAATTTGTTAAAAATGTTAAGAACTATAGGAAATATTTGATGTTATATTTAACATATACCAATTGTGATAACCTCATAGCCGCCACTGTATATAGCAAAATTTTTAGCAATTTTAACACATTCACTATGAATTCATACATAATAATGACATATAATTAAAATTATGTTTTCAAATGAGGCGAAAAAAATGTTTGAAAAAAAAATTATTAATATTGTACTTTGATTCGATATAAAAATATACGAGAAAGCTACTTCAAATGCCTATATTTTCCAAACCGACTGAGATATTAACTTAGTTCATTTTGCAATGCATTGAAAATCATCTCTAATTTTGGGACAATTTTTTCAAATTTTGAGTTTGGAAAGAAATTGCAAAAAAATTAAAATATTTTTTTAATTATCAGTGTATTTTCTGAAATATGAAATGTGCGATAGCTATTTTAACGTGCGTTGATAGTCCTTATAAATGTTTAATAATGGGTACTTATTTTATTTGAAAATAGCTTTGCCGTTGGCTGCGACCTGAGCCTATATGTTGAGAATTGCGAATTTAACAAGTCCCAAATAAATGGACCACAAATTTTAAAATATGATACATTAATTTCAGTTAATGTATTTCTATTTAAAAATAAAATTATTACAAAAAGTAACTTATAAATAAATTAAGCGACTTACCGCAGTTTTTATCCAAAACAAACTAAACTTTATAATTAGAGCCAGTTAATACTGAGCCTACAAAATTCTTTTGCCTTTGTATTTTTACAATAGTTCATTTCCCAATAAATAAGCTGAACGAAACTACTGCAGTAGAATATAGGGACAAATAAAGCGTTTAGTAAACAAATAAGAACAAAAATACAAAACATTATAAAAAATCTTAACAGACAAATGAACTAAACAACAATGATCATACAAATAAATAAGACAATTTAAGTAAACATCATTTTTGTTTATTTAAATAGTGCCATGTGAGCTACCTTAGGCACTAAATAAATAAACAAAAATGATTCAATTTAAATAAAAATAATAATAAAATCAAATAAAAGAATTTATGAGCCATTAGGCGACATGCTTAACCCGTATTTTTAAAGATTTTTTAAATGTTATTATTTTAAACCGCTATAACTTTTGCGCGTATCATTGAAAATAATTAACGTTTTCATATTTATCATGTGTAATTATTATCTAATTCAGCCAGTAATTATGGTTCTTGTCGGAGGAAAAAATGTTTATCCAATTCTTAAATTTGATGTCACTACATGCTAAAAAGAATAATTTGCTGTGATATTCTTGAAAAACACTTTTTTCATTTTTCATAAAAAATTATCGATATACGTCAAAATAAAGTGTGTGGTGAAGTCATATCCATAAAAAGTCCAGTGGTTTAGTTTTGTGCGTGAAAGAGTTAATTAAAAAAATAAAATTATTAATACATTTGGATTTCTAGCGGAAGGCTCGTCTGTCAATCTAATAGATCAGAGAATATTTGGTAGCTTGCCATTAAGGTACCCCGACCCCCTGCGCCTATAGTGGACTGGCGGAACAACGCGTGAAGAAAATGATTCCGTCAGAACTTAGTTAATAGTGTCAAACACGTCTTGGCATACAGGGAGGTAAGATAAACAGCTCAACCCAGCATATGCTGAACATCAACACTTGTGTGTGCCAAAAACAATACGAAAAGTTTCACGAATTGGTGAAAACGTATTTTAACTTGGAAAAGCCAATTCCATCTGCATTACTATCTGCAGATGACTCTCGTGCAATGAAAATATTAAAATCGACATGCAAACAAATAGGTGAACGCTGCGCACAAACAGTTGCCAAACAGCTACGATAACGCTTTTCGTATGCTTATGTGCCTCCAGATAAAAATCGTTAAAGATAAATCGCTTTCAGAAAAGATGCGATCTCAAATTACTAATTTGCTTGATAAAGGGTATGCCAAAAAATTAAATCCGGCCAAAATTGCAATTTCTTGTGAAAGAGTATGGTATCTCAAAATTTTCTTAACATTCAACCCAAACAAACCCGGTAAAATACGCTTGGTATGGGTGCATCGGCAAAGTCAAACGGAGCATCACTAAATGATTAGCTAAATCCCTTAGTTGATATACTTCTGGATTTTCGCAGTGGAAAAATTGTGATTTGTGGGGATATCGCTGAGATGTTCCATAGAATCAATGTCCGAGGAAGCGATATGCACGCTCAGAGATTTTTATGGTGGAACTGAATCGACGAGTTGCATCAGCGAAGTCATTATGTAATGAGAGCTTTCGGGTTAAACTGCGCACCATGTATCGCTCACTACGTCCGTGACTCTCATGCCAAGAACTTCAAACTACAATTTCCTCCAGCTGTGGAAACAATTGAAAAGCATAACTAT